ATTAATTATCAGCATTGGCAGCTGAATTAGTGCTCAGTGACACGGAAGCGCGGGCGGCTGGGCTGTGTCCATCCCCTGCACGCTGTCGGGTCACCCCGGGGTGCTGGGGCAGCCAGAGACTGCTCAGAGTCAACCCCCCCGAGACACCTCCACACCCTCTGAGACACTGCACTAACCCCGTGTTCTGGTGTGAGCTTTAGACTAGGTAATTCTCAAGGGCTTGCTTTAAATAACTGAAAACTAACTCTCACGGTGTCTTTTTCCCTCCCCTCCCGTATTTCTTTGTAGGTTGTAGCTACTGGTGCAATAACGGGCTCCACCTTGCATGTTTCCATGTGTTGTATCCTAACCAGCAACTCGGACAATCACCTTCCATTTAAAAAAAAGCAAAAGCAAACCACGAAATTAACCCATGGACATAATCAACACTATTATCCGAATTCTCCTTTTCTGCCTTTCTCCGCTTGGTGTGGGCTGTTGCTTCAATAACACCTCCTGGCTGCAAGAAGTCCCTGTCTAACACCACGGGCACCTCCGGCCGTACCTCCCGGAGAGGGGCTGGGACCTGCTCTCACTCACTGGCAGGTCGGGGGGTGACTTGGGGGGGTGTCGGGGGGCAGAGGGTGTGAGGGTACACCCGGCAGCCCCGGTGCTGGAGGGGGCTTTGTGAGTGGAGGTGGCAGGAACCTTCCCCATGGCTGGACACCCCCCTGCTCTGCCACCCAGCCCGGCGGTGCCAGCTCTCCCTGGGGACCGGTGCCGGTTCTGTCGGGGCTGGGTGAAGCTGGAGCGGTTCTTGAGCAGAAGGAAGGATGGTCCTTGCTCTCCTGGTCCCTCACCCTGCCAGGACCAAGCCAAGGTGGTGTCTGGGGCCGGCCAGACTGGGATCAGCCCCAGCGCTGGGGAAAAGAGGAGGGAAGCAAGAGCTCCCCCCCCCGCTCCCCCTCTTCCAAATCTTTGGGCTTTGAACTTGGTGATTTGCCTCAGTTTACACCCCCTGCTCAGCAAAATGTCTGACAACGTTAGGGGCTTTGCAGAGTTACAGGTAACAGCAAATAACGTGCCTTTATAGAAAAGGTCTTTTTTTCATTCTTTACCAATTCATCGTTTTGAAAAAAATACCTTGTTTTGGCGGGGAGTTTTGTGCACTTGCTACAGTCTATAAAGAGGAGCAAATGGATTCGGGTTTGTTCTGTGGGGTTGTTTTACCCGACAGCTGTACCTCATCAAAACAGCCCTTTCTCTTAAAAACCAAATCCTGTAAGTCATTTTTCCCTTCCCTTCTACTTCAGGGAAACCAAGTGCCCATTGAAAACAAGTGTTGGGCTCCTGCCCCCAAAGGGACTTCTCAAAAGCTCCCGTTTTCTCCAGTTTGAGGCAAATCAGATTTGTTGTGCGTGAGGTTAACACGAATAAGTTCCCGTGTTCGCCGCTTAATGACTTTAAGCTGCTTTTCTGGGGTTGTACGAGATCAGAATCTAACCCATTTCAGTTCCTTTTCTAGAACTGTAGCTTTGTTAAAAAAAATTCAACACAAGTAACTCTTTCCCCCCTCCCTTCTCCTCCCCCCCCCCCACTCTCTCCAGCATTAACAGTAGCAAAGTTGTCCTGCGTTTTGAAAGATTTGGCTTGGGAATCCTGGAGCCAAGTCACCAAAAGCTGTAGCGTGGGGTGTAACCCCCTGTGAGCGCGTTGTCTCCTCCCGACACCCGGCGTCACCGGCCTCCGCCGATCCCTGCGGGGACGCAGCCCCGGGGGGGCCGTGCAGCCTGAACCCTGCCTGAGCACCAGCAGTTATTTAAAGGATGTTTACATGATACTTTTGTGTGAACTATATTTTTTAAACATAATAAACAGTGAATCAAGTTTAACTAGAGCCATTCTCAAATAGCACTGAAAAAAAGAGAACTATTTCTAGTTCCTTCTCCCATCTGTGGTAAAGAGGAGGACTCTCTGCCTCCAGAGCAGTCGTTTCCCCACGAGGGTGGAAGGGGCTCGTTGCAGAACAGCAGCGCGTCGGGTACGAGGGGTTGGAGTTCCAGAGAGGATTTTTCTTTCCTTAAGGTGAAATCAATCTCTTGCCCAAACCGGCCCCTGAGCCCCAGGTTTGTGTGGGCAGGGCTGGGCCAGATGCTGGGGACCTGCCTGAAGTCCCACCAGGACAGATCTCCTGGGAGCGTTTCCCATCGCGTAGGCTGGGTCTGGGGTACAGACCCGAGTGCTCCTCCACACAGAACTCACACTAAAAGCTCCTTGTGCTCCTGCAGTCCTGGAGGAAGCTTAGGACTGGCTCCTTGATACAGATCTGCATCCAGGGACCAGTTCTTTGAAGTTTTAGGCACAACAAGTCCTAGTCCCCTAAAGCAGCAGCATTTCTGGCAATAATACACTGACCGACCGGGCGCAGCCATTTCAGCTGCAGGAGAAAAGGCATTTTTTTAGAGCTGCGGGGAACAGCGAGAGATGAGAAGGGGAAAAGCCATCCCTAAATAACACATTAAATAAGGGCTTGTTGCACAGGGCTCATCAAGAGATTCCAAGTCATTCCCTCCCCCCCACGCTGGGCACATCACAGTTTACAAGCTGTTCTAAAAAACGTAGGACTAAAGCAGTTGTTTTGAGGAAGACTAAGAACGACAGAAATCTTGCAGCCAGGACAGTTACATCTTGCTCTAGAGGGAATGACTCAACCCAGCAGCTCAGCCTTGTTTCAGAGGTTAATTTTAAGGCAAGACAACCCCCAAACCACCCCCTCTCCAAGGTGTGATGTGCAGGTTATAAAGGAGACACCCCGTTACCCCACTTAAGGTGACAGATGCAAATGAAGTGTGAGCAGCGTTAGCAGAGGCTCCCTCCTCCCTCCCCTTCACGTTCCCCTCCCGACTTCCCGAGTGGGGAACCCTCACGGGACCATCAACTTTCAGACCTTTTCTGTCCCTCGGTTTGTTGGGCTGGTTCATCCAGGCTCTCTAGTCATTCACTTCTCCAGCACCACCAGCATGTTACCCCCCCCCAACCCCTTTACCCACATGGCTTTGGCAGGAGGCTCAGGAGAAAGGGGCTCTGAGGTCCTCTATGGGGCGGGCAGAGGGGCAGGAGCTCCTTTGGCTACTTGGGGGGGGTGACTCTTGTAGAAAATTAAGCGGCAAAAGTATTTCCTGAGTTCTGTTGAGCAGAGCTTCACTCGGCCACGGGCAAGTCAGTTACATTCACTTACAAATATTTTGATAGAGTGACTTTTTAAATGTGTCTTGGCTATCAAAGAGATGGGTTTGGTGGTTGCCAGGTGTGGCGTTGGGGTCTCTCCTGCCCCCCGTCTAGAGCTGGAGCCCGGCAGAGGCTGGTGCCGGAGGCAGCGCGTCGCTCTGGAACCTGTGGTTCTGCCATTTGAGGGTGGCAGCGGCTCCTCCCGAGTTATTTCTGCCATTTCTTTGCGTAAAACGAGCCCCAAAACCTGGGACACCCCAAACTCCTCCCAGTGGGAGCTAGTCCCCAGCCTGCAGACAGTCGGGGTGTCCCTGTCACCAGCAGTGACTCTGCCGCCCTCAGCTACGCTGGAAAAGCAATATATTCTGGTGTTTTCTAATTAGATGAGTGGTGAGGGGGAGGAGAACGGCCAGTGCTGGACCAACAGCCACATTAAAACAATTTAAGGAAAACACAAAAATCCTGTCACCATTTATCCTTCCCACAACCGCCCTTGGGTTGTTCCAGCCCCGTCTATGCAGACCCAGGGCCGTGTCCCCCCGTTCCCCCAGGATCCCTCACCCCTCTCAGCAGGGCCTGGGGCCCCCCGTCCTTGTGCTGGGACGGCCCAGCCCCCCCAGGAACACGGCCCCGGGTCCCAGAACCTGCTTCTAATCACAACATTTGGGATTTGAATTGAACCTGCCCTTGGGTTTGCATTTAACACCCATAAATTGCTCTGGGAAGCAACCCCCAGCCTCCTGGTGGGGGGGAGAGGGGAGGCCGCTCACAGCTGGGGGGTAATTTGGGTGTGAGACCCCCGGGGAGGCGGGGGGATGTGGGGCTGGACAGGGACCCCTCGACGCTGCAAACC